CTGAAAGCCTGTTCTTATTTATCCAGCTTGGAAAGTCTCATCAGTGTCCCAGGAGCAGTTGACAATATGTCCTCTGCAGACAGGTACTGCTGTGCCCACTGGCCTCAGGAAGAGGCTTCCCATAATTTTTATGCCCATGGATCTTTAAATGCATTGGTCACAGCCCTGATCCATGGTAGGGAAGCTGTTTTCACACATGGATTCCCCTCGGGTCACTTGTTTTTTGGAAGACACAACTATTTCTCACTCATCTTTCCATGGTCTAAAACACCTAGTTGTCCCACAAAGGTGTATATACAGTCTTCTAGGAGCACAATTATGACTTTCAGCCATATGCTCATATTGCAGAGCCCTTCCATAGTGTCCATCAATTGAGGTAACCGAAGTTTGGAGCGGTAATGCACAGCAAAACTCAGGGAAGACTGGTTATCTTGGCAAGATCCATCATGAGGACTGGCAGGACTCCGTGATGGCCACTCCCACAACCAAGATTTTTATTTAATAAAAGCATGTGGGGTCTAACCAGTGACTATTTCAGACTATTTACTGCAACAAACTACAACAAGGAAGGTTCTGGAAAGATGCTGGGTTGTTCAGAGAACCACAAAAGGCACAACCTGACACCAGCCAACCAACAGCAGAAAGGCTGACCAGTGCAGCTACCCGGAGATGAGGCAGCCAGCAGTGATAGGGCACCCAAAGGTCCAGGTCGGCAGAAGACACAGGTGACTCTGCCCCCATCAGATACAACTCGGCTGGAGGTGGGGAAGCTGGGTGACACCAAGGGAAAGCCACTTTCTCCCTATTCCAGAAAGAACTCAGAAGACAACAGCACTATGGGTTTCACATCATCATTTCCCTGGAGGTCAAGGCTTTGGGTCCTCCACTCAGCGTCCGTCTTCCTCCCATCTTAGACACATTACACACCTACCACTGGCCCAGACAGTCAGGAACCCTGACATGTGCCCATATCTTTGGGACACTCGTGTCCCCCATGCACACCTGCTGCCCATTGTGGAGCTGGGCCTCACCTCCAGGCTGTGGCCCAGGGTGTCTGGGGAGTGACCACGCACTAGCCCATGGGTGCAGCCCAGAGCTGAGTGATGTCAGCTGGGGCACAGGGGATACAGGATATTTCTAAGATTGCTGAGCCAAAATCGAAACCAAACAGGGACTGACTCATATCCATTCCATATCGGCTATGGAAGGGCAAAAAGGCCTGCTGGAAATTTCTACCCAGGGTGCATCTGCAGGCCCCACAGGACAGTACAGATGGCCCCAAAATGGGCTGAAAAGATGCCGCTGGGGAGGATGGCAGCTCTGTGCAGACTTGAACCCCATACAGACAAGAATTGGGGGCTGGAGAGAGGGCACGGGGAGCCCACTGTGGCACTGGCCCTCAGATGACAGGGGGTGTTGCCCATGGCCCTGGGCGCAGAACTCCACAATACTGGGTCTGAGGGAGAGAGCTCCCTCCGCCTCAGGACTATAACCATCCAACTGAATGCCAGGCAGACCTGCGGCATGCACCCTGCAGGGTCGGCCACCCTGGGCGGCACCTCTGTCCTCGCCTTTCCAGCACTGGATTTCCAGGGACCGGGAATTCAGCATTCCAGGGACCTGAGCTACAGAGCCCCGTGCGGCCACCATGGAGAAGAACCTTCAGCACCTTCCCTCCGCCATTGCTTTGCCTCCTATCAGACCCATTTTTCCTTTCCATCTTCTAAGCCTTCCTACTTTGGGTAGAAATCTTTCAGTTTTGCATATTGTGTGACTGAACACCAGCAGTGGAGGAGGCTGACCTTGGGATGATGGTAAGCATCTGGTTTCAGACTAGCACCTTGGAAGTAATGGTCAAGGAGCCTGAGTCAGAATTGTGAAAGAATTAAACACTATTTCCTTCTTCCTATGACTGCTCCGCCCTGTCCTCAGTGGTGACGGTTGGGTGGGTGGAAGGAGAGGCCCCCAGGCTGTGCATTAGCCCCAGCACCAGGGGGAAACCTGGGGAATGAGTGGGAGAGGCAGGGAGGCAGGGACACTCCATGTAAGAGGCGATCTGCACACGTGTGTGCTGGGGAGAAATGTGTCTGGGCCCTACTGGAGGAAGGAAAGTGTTTCTTCTTCTTTTCCTGGGGTCCTTTCACCACTTCACAGTGCATGTCCCACCGGAGAGAGAGGCCAGCCACTGCCCAGAGAGCTAAGGTTTGAGAAATCTAAAAAGAAAGGGGGACAAATTCTCCCCTTTGAGAAGGAGCCCATGTCCAGGATAGGGTGTCGGGGGTAGATATCCACCTAGTCACTCCTTTTGTTCTCTGCCACATGACCTAACCACTCACCTGTCATTTATATGTGACACTTTCCTATGTTAAAGTCTCTCCCCACCCACCGTATACCTTGTCAACACACCCCTGGACAGACAGGACATGGCAATCACTGCTGCTGTTTTAAAAAACCAAAACCTTGCAGGTATCACGTGAGGATCAATGAGATCGTTCATATGCTGTGTCCAGCCCAAGTCCGGTAGACAGGCCCTTTCTGCCTGACCCCTGCGACTGCTAACCTGTCCCCTTCTCGTCCTTTCGTCTGGGGCTTTGTTGATTTGCTGGCAGATACCCAGAGCCCCAAGATGAACAATAGCTTCTCCACCCCGTCCTTACCTCACCTTCACACCCAGGGCCATCTACAGCAAGCACCACAGCGTCAATACAATTCCCCAAGCTGCAGGAGACCTGGCACATCAGCTGCCACCTGCCCTCACCAGATCTGTGACAAGAGGCCCGGAGTGCTCCAGCTGGCTAGGGCACTCTGCGCTAATTTCTCCTCAGCAGGGTTCCCTGCCTCTACTTCCTTCTCTAAATGGAGGTTTCATTTGTGTGTTCACATCTGATCACAAGATTCAGGCCTCTGGCTTATTCTTCATCTGTTTTTAATCAGCTACTTCGAGCCCTTAGCAGCTGTATTCTATGCTTGGTTGCTGTGCTTTTCTTTCCTGATTTAGTTTCTTTGACTTTCAGTTAAGATATCCTTGCTAGCTACTGGTGATGGGATAGTTCAGTGTTTACAAAGTTAGGTTTTGATTTCTTATCTGAGGAAACTGAACAAATAATCTTAGTACCTGAATAATAAAAGTCTGTATACCCGAGTACGTCTAGCATGAATAAAAAGGCCAAGGAAAATCAGCAAGATGAGAGAGAGAGAGCAGTAGACGCTCATGAAGGTGTTCTGGGAACAAAACCCAGGAAATGGCTTAAAAATCCATGTCTCAAAATTCCATGAAGAAAAGGGCAATCTTCTGATCTTCAAGCAGAACACAAATGAGGCAAACAAAAAATGTGATAGCAAGATGTGGCAATAAATAAATGAGAATGACTGCTGGCATACACTTCAGAATTCTCTCTGCCGTTTGGCTGCTTGTCCTGGAGTCATTAATTGTGGTGTGAGTGTGTTGCAGGTGGCAACACCCTGGGCCACTCCTCAGCGTCAGGTGTCCTGTTCCCTGAGACAGCTGTGGGCACTTGCTTCCCAGGGACCGGCCATGTTCCCACCTGATGTTCCACCATTTCCAAGGATGCATTGAGATTTGGAGGCTTTGGGGACTGTCACTTTTACTTGAAAAACTGTGAAGTGAGCAGGGGAAAGCTCCTTTTTGGCTCCTCTGTTAGAGATCTGCTGGAGAAATGGAAAAGGCAGCTGCCCGGCACGGCGGGGTCTGCTGGGAACAGCCCTTTCGCTGCACTCTTTCACAGCGGCCAGACACCTCCCACAGGTCCCTCTGGGTGATTTTATCTAAGGGGACAAGGACTGGAGCAGAGGGTTGTGGAAGGGCTGACAGGAAGACCCTGTTCCTTGTCTGGAAGGCATCTCAGCCTAACAACCTCCGGGTGAGTCCATTCTGCCTAGCAAAGCACCACAACCGACCCCTATCAACAGACACCTGCTATTTCCCTGTGCCACGGCCACACGCACTGACACAGAGCCCACTACAGGTGCCGAGTCCTGTCTCCGAGGGCCAAACAAGGCTTTCGGCTCCCACCCAGCTGTGAGCACAGTAGGCTCGGCAGGGAACCGGGCCGGATCGGATGGCGGCTGCCTCCCTTCCCCCGCTGCAGGCCATCAGGCACAGAGTTGCCCCAGGAACGCAGGAGCCACGCCAGGCCGGGTGGCCTCGCTGCAGCGGCGAGGCATTTACGCTGAATTTTCAGGGCCCACCGTGGGAACCTTCACACCTCGCTCGCAGCTGAGGACAGGCTGACAGGTTTTAAAGGGGCACAGAGGCTACGCCTAGGCAGCTTCTGGCTCTGGCTGAACCTGCCGGCCCCCTGTCACCCTTTTACAGATCTGGGAGGCGACGCAGAAAGAAGGGAACGGGCAGCCATGGGAGCTGGGGAGAAGGCAGTAGACCCAGTGTTCGGGGCCCATTTTATCACTTGATCAAACTTCAACATTTTGGGGCTTCCCAACACCTTAGCTAAAAACACAAGAAAAGAAGGCAATTCGTTTAAAGAACATTTTCCAGCCATGCCTGTCCCCTCTCCTGCCGTTTATTTCAGAGGCGATTACAAAATTAAACCCAAGGCCCCCCTGCGCGGCCGGGGGGAGGGGAGGCAGACGCCACGGAGGAGGGGGACCCAAGTTCCCGCTCGGTCCGCTCCCAAGGCAGGTGTGCAAACACATGGTCCCAGACAAAACGACCCAAGGCCACCTCATTTCCCCCACCACCACCGGGGGAACGACAGACGCCCCACAGCCCACCCATGGGCGCGGCGGGAGGGTCGGGATCGCGGACGCAGGCTCAGGGGGCCCCGCCGGGAACCCCGGGTCTTTGTGTCGCGGGTAGCTTCGGGGAGACGCGGGCGCCGGAGCGGCTTCTCCAGTTCGGACACTTTTCCGCCTGAGTTTCCCTTCGGCTCCCGGCTCGCCCTGAGCTCGCGGCGAGAGGCCGGAGCTTCCTCCCCGGGGACCCCGGGGCTCTGGGCTCGGGCGGCCGCAGCGCCACTTACCGCAGCTCAGGCGCAGGCGGGGTCCCCGGCGCGGCGCTCGCAGGGGGCTGCAGGGCCGAGCAGCA